CTGTCTCTACCCAGCGGTCCGCCCGCCCGTCCGTCTGTCCCTCCGTCTCCCCAGCGGTCTGTCTGCCCATCCATCTGTCTATCTGGCTCTTCCTCTGTCTGTCTATTCATCTGTCTGTCTATCTGCCTGCCCAGTCATCTGTCCGTCTCTCCATCTGTCTGTCTGTCTGTCTGTCTGTCGGTCGGTCGGTCACATGGTTTCACTCAGGCTACAGGGAAAGGCTGGGGGCGGCCTCCTGTGCCGATGGGAGCTGATGGGAGCCGTCCGGACTTGAGCCTGTGGGCAATGATTAAGGGTTGGGGGTGGTGGGGAGGTAATGACTGGGTGGGGCAGGCAGTGAGAGATGGGTGGGACACAGGGTTGGGGCTGAGTGGCTCAGCTCCCTCTCAGCTCCTGGAGCAGGATGGGGGGTCACCAGCGCCTGAGCTCCCTCGCACTCCTCTTCTTTCTGCTGCCCCCGGCGGCCTGGGGGAGCTGGCCTGAGCCCCCTCGGGGATCCTTGCTTTTTGTGACCCTGGTGAGGCATGCCCCCGTTCCTGCTCCAGCCCCGGGTCTCCACTGAGCTGGCCTTGACCCCAGATCCCTCCGTTTCCCCAGGTCTATCGCCATGGGGACCGTGCCCCCCTGGACTCCTACCCCACAGACCCCCACAAGGACAAGGCCATATGGCCCTATGGACTAGGCCAGCTCACCCAGGTGAGGAGGCCAGAGGACCTGGGGGGAGAGGGTGGTCCGGGCTCCTCCGTCCCCTAAAACCGCCGTCCATCTCCAGGAGGGCGTCCAGCAGCAGGTCGAGCTCGGCCGCTTCCTCAGGGCCAGATACGGCAACTTCCTGAACCAGGAGTATCATCGAGACGAGGTAAGGGGAAATTTGTCCTCTGTTGACTGTCTGGCCTCCAGCCTCGGCCCTTACGCCGGCCTCCGACCGGCCTCTTCCCCTCCCTCCTCAGGTGTATGTGCGGAGCACAGACTACGAGCGGACCCTGCAGAGCGCCCAGGCCAACCTGGCCGGGCTCTTCCCGAGGCCTCCCCTCACCCCCGGCTGGATGCCGGTCCCCATCCACACTGTCCCAGCCACTGAAGACAAGGTCAGGGCCGTGGGAGTGCAGGTAGAGGGCAGAGAAGTCCTAAAGGGAGAGACACAGACCTAGAGAGAAGGAAGCCAAAGGAAAAGGGTGGAGGGTCAGAGACCCAGCCGGGGAGGGGGGGCAGAGGTGCTCCTGGGGGGGACCAGCCCTCTCCAGGGGGTGGGGGGGCCACGGAAGCTGCATTTCAGGGAGGGCATCGACGGCGCAGGCCCTCCGAGGATATCCGGAAGGGATGGATGGGGCGCTCGGCTCAGGGCTGTCACATGGAAAGGGATTCACCCAAGGGAAGAATGGCTTTGGGAGGCAGTGAGCTGCCTGTCCCCGGAAGTGTCCATCCAGAGCAGAGGCTACATGGGCTGGGGGCAGGGGGGGGAGTCCTGCTGCGGGAAGGGGCTGGGTTTGCCCTGCCAGGCCCTGCCCGGCGCCGAGGCTCCGTACTTCCATCCCATCCACAGCTGCTAAAGTTCCGGACCCAGCGATGTCCCCAGTACCAGAAACTTCTGGAGGAGACAGTGGCGGGAGAAGAGTACCAGGCAGCCCTCGAGGGCTGGAGAGTGAGGGGGGAAGGCGTGGGAGGGCAGCATTGGAATCCTAGGGGAGAAATAGAGTCTGGTCCGGGCTGTGCAAGTGGGAAGGCTCACACAGGGTCACACCCGGGGTCAGAGCTGGGGCGGCTGGGGGGTTCTGGGACACTCCACTCCAGCCCGGGGCTCCTTCCCCCCAGGAGTTCCTGGTGCACCTGGGGAACCTCACAGGCTTATCCCTGGCCGACGGGCCCCTCCACAGGGCCTGGAAGGTGCTGGACACCTTGACCTGTCAGGTAGGTCCTCGTGCCCACCCTCGATGCTGCCTGCTCATACCCCCCCAGCCCTGGACACCCCCCCACCCACTGTGCTTCTTTACTAGCGAGCCCACCGGCTCCCCCTCCCTGAGTGGGCCACCCCAGAGGTGCTCAGGTCTCTGGCCCAGGTGTCAGCCCTGGACGTTCGAGCCCACGTGGGCCCCCCGAGGGCAGAGGAGAAGGCCCAGCTCACTGGAGGTGAGTGGGGAACTGCTGGCATTGGCTGGGGGGCCAGAGCGGGGAGGACAAGAGGGCCAGACTTCAGGCGGCCCGTTCCCCCCTCCAGGAATCCTGCTCGATGCCATCCTAACCAATTTTACCCAGGTCCAGGCCCGAGGGCTGCCTCTCAAGATGATTATGTACTCAGCTGTGAGTGTGGGGCCAGGGCGGGCGTGGGATGGGAAGCCAGGCTGGGAGAAAAATTGGAGGGTCACAGTGGACCACAGCTGGACAGGGCCGGGTCTGCAGAGGTGTGAAGCACTAGCTTAAGTAAGCTTGGCCACAGAGGGCAGAGCGAGGGATGGCCAGTAAGGGGGAGCTCAGGGTGCGGGCAGCAGGGAGGCCACTTTCCACAAAACGTAGGGAAGCTTCTCAGCCCTGCGTCCGGGAGAGATGGTCCTAAACCACAGGGCTTCCGTGGAGGGCAGGTGGTGGCTGGGGGGTCAAGATGAGCTCTGAGTGCTGCGTTCCCTCCCCCAGCACGACAGCACCCTGCTGGCGCTCCAGGGAGCCCTGGGCCTCTACGACGGCCACCACCCGCCTTATGCTGCCTGCCTCGGGTTCGAATTCTGGAAGCACCTGGGAAAGCCAGAGCCAGAGGAAGAGGAGGGGTAAGCTGGAAGGAGTGGGCCCTGGCTCGCAGCCATCCCCCGTGCAGGCCCTCTCCCTCCTGGGGTCTCCGCTGCTCTGGGTGGAGGCGGCAGGGATCCATGGGAGACCCTGGCACCAGGTCAGAGAGCTCCTCTGGCCTCAGTATCTTCCTCTTCCCTGCCAAGCTCAGCCGGACCCTGGGTCTCCGGGAGAGCCGCAAGGGGGGGCGGAGCCAGAGCCCGGTGCCCCCTCACCCGTCCTCTGTCCCCAGGAACATAACTGTCTCTCTCTTCTATCGTAACGACTCTTCCCGGCCACCCCTGACGCTGGAGCTGCTGGGCTGTCCCTCCCCATGCCCGCTGGGCCGCTTCCGCAGGCTCACTGCCCCAGTCCGGCCGCCCCCAGGGGGACCTCCCTGCCACCGCCCCACCAAGGATGCTGACCCCGCAGGTGGGCTTGCTCCAGCCGGGGAGGGGGGCCGGCGTGGGCTCCAGCTGCTGGCTCACCCGCCCCCTTCCCCCGTCTCCTGCAGGCGCTGCGGTGCCCGTGCTGGCAGGGACTGTGGGGATCCTCGGCGTCCTCAGCCTGGGGCTCGGGGCTGCGCTGTGGAGCCGGGGTTCTCCGGCACCCAGGGAAGGCCCGGTCTAAGGGGGAGACTCCCAGCTTGAGGGTCCATTGTGGGCTGGGGGAGAGTACACACATAAACTTTGATTGAGCGCAGCCCTGGGAAGGGTGTGTGTGTGTGTGTGTGTGTGTTTGGGGGGGGGGGGGGGGGGAATGGCCCCCCAGGACCTGGCCCCTGCTGCGGGACATTTTATGCTCCCAGGGTCCTTACGGCCCAGGCCGAGTCCTGGGCTGACAGTATCAGTCCACTTCTAAATCATCCTTTTCAAGGGTTGGGATCTAATTCACAAGAGAAACTGAGGCCCAGCAGGGGTCAGCACTCACCTCTGCCAGAGTTTTAATGAATGCTTGTTCGTTGGCTGGATGTCACAGGCCGGTGGGGGGAGGGGAGGGCGAGAGGCCACGAGGTTTGACCCCCAATCTTAGACCTCATCAGCCCCAGCCATCCTGCCACACTGGCCCCCAAAGCCTTTCCAAGACTATTCAGAGCATGCAAGTGTGTGATCTTGGACACCCCCAGTTCTGGGCCATCTGGGAAGGACAAGCGGGATGGTGTTGGGGGGGCTGAAGCAGGGTTGGGGTACACATGTGTCCTCGGAGCTAAGGCCCTTCAGGCGTCTGCCCTGCCAAATGGCACCAGCCCAACGTGGCCATCACGGGCATTCCTGTCCCAACCTCACTTCCACACCCACTCTGGGGGCACAGTGGGTAAGACGCTGGAGAAGAGGGGGATGCTGAGGAGGAGGAGAAGTGTCAAGTGTGGCCCCATGCCCTCTGTCCTCCAGTGCTGAGGATGTCCCTCCCCTGAGTCCGGTGTTGGTGGCATCCTGGGTAACAAGTCCAGGGCGCCAGCCCACTGCCCGAGACTCATGGCATGAAAACAGGGCACCGGGGCGAGAAGCAGCTTGGCCCACAACCTCCTGTTTCATCTGGGGGAAACTGAGACCTGAAAAGGGCAGCAGCTTGCTGTGTGCCCTCAGAAGGAGCCCCACAGAAGCAGGATTTCAGAGTCGGAAAGACCCCTAAGACATCCTTACATCCCACTTTCTCACTGGACAGACAGAAAAAATGACACCCAAAGAGGGTGAGCGGCCTGTCCGGAGCCTCAGCAGGGACATGACCAGGCCACTCTCCTCACCCCATCTGAGTACCGTCCGGTGAAGAGGCTCCCCCCCTCCCCCATCCAGCTCCAGCAGCAGGAACAGGGCCAGCACTTTCTACTGCCTGGGCCTCAGCATCCCCAGCCTGGCTGGGTGCAGAGTGGGTCCTCCCAGTCCTGAGCTTCTCTGGCCCAGAGTACCCCGTCCCAGCTCTGACCTTCCATGCTCTAAGGTCCCCCCCCCCCGCTCTGACATTCCATGTTCTGAGGTCCCCTCCAGCTCTGACATTCCATGCTCTAAGGTTCTCCCCCAGCTCTGACCTTCCATGCTCTAAGGTCCCCCCCCAGCTCTGACATTCCCTGTGCTCGGTTTTATCCCCAGGCCCCCCTGACCTCCTCTACTTTAAGGCCCCCCCACCCCAGCTGGGGGTTCTCTCTGCTGGGGGGGAGAGTCGCTCCCAGCTCAGGCCTTCGGTGCTGGGGGCACAGACCAGGTCCCAACCATGCAATGGCCACAGTTCCCCAAGGGGGACCCCCAGAGCAGGGTGGAGAACCCCCCCATACCAGGATGTTGAGGGGGCTCCATGACCCCAGTGGGTGAGGCCATGGAAGGAGCACTGAGGAGGGGCAGCCTTGTCTGTCCTCGATCAGGCAGAATGGGGGTGGGGGGTAACGGAGGGAGCCCAAAGCCTCCCCCCAACCCCACCCTGGGGAGGCCCCCACCCCCTGAGTCCTGAGGGGGAGGGGAGGATGGGGGGGGGCTCCTCCGCAGCGGGAGCTTCTCCTAGAGTAATTAGTGCGGGGCGCCAAAGGAGGTCGTATGGAGTCACCCCAGCGGGGGGGGGGTCCCCGAGGGGGGGAAGGGGGGGGGGGGGGGGGCCGGGGGTTCCCTCGGGAATACGTGCGCAGCCCCCAGCCCTAGGGACACGGGGGGGGTGTCACGTGACTACATCTTTCCCTAGGCGCCTGCGCAGGGAGAGGAACTGAAGGGGGGGCTGGGAGGGAAGAGGGCGGGGCCTGATTGGCTGCACCTTGGCAGGGATCGGCGGGATGAAAGTAATGAGTGGCAGCACGGGGCGGGGCTTCCCAGGGATTCTCACCCAGGATAGTTTGATTTTCCCTTTTGTCCTTCCCGGCGTGAGGAAGAGTGGGTGCAGCTGGTGGTGCCCCGGGCCTGGAGTCAGGAAGATCTGAGTTCAAATCCTGTCTTAGTCACTAGCTGCATGACCCTAACCCCCGTTTGCCTCAGTTTCCCCATGTGAAATTGGGGCTAATAATAGCAGCCACGTCACAGGGCTGCTTGGGGAATCCTGGGGTGCTTGGCACGGGGCTAGGCACACGCTTGTCCCTTGCGGTCTCTGGAGCAGACCCTCAGCCCCACCTCGCAACCACCCACGGGCTTTCCCCCAAATGCCCGTCGGAGCACGTCACCCCACCGCCCAACACTGCCGTGGCCCCACTTGGAGCTCAAAGCCCCTTCTGACCTTCCCCCAAGCCCCCCAGCTCTCCCGTCCTCCTACCACCCCCTCATGTGCTCTTCCATCCGCTGTCCGGCCTCCTGGCTGGGTCCGCCTCTGGGCTCCGGCCATTCCCTCCGGCCGGCTCTCCTTCCTCCGTTCTGACCGCTGACCTCCGGGAAGCCTGCCCGGGTCCTCCCAACGACCCTCTCAGCTCTCTTCCCGTTTACACCGGGAGCCTCTCGGGGCAGAGACCGTCTTTGGTGTCCCCCGGCTTAGCGCAGTGCCCGGCGTACAGCAGGCGCCGCATAAATGCTTCCTGGCTCGCGAGCGCTTGGTGCTCCTTGGAGGGCTCGAACCCTGGCCATACCGACCTCGAGATGGACCCTGTGTCCGGACGCCTCTTCTTCTCCCTCCCCCAGAAGTCCTCATATTCTGCTCACTGAAAGTTGCATCCTTTGACCTCTGCTCAACCAAGTGGATTGTCCCCTGATTTCTTCCCTCTTTTGGACTCAGTTTCCTCCTTTTTCAAATGATGGGGTTGGACTCCCCACCCCTCCCAAAAAATTCAGCACCTCTCCCATAAACCGCAAATTTCTTTATTTTCACAGCCCAAGGTTGATTTCTGTGGGTGTGACGAAGCTCTTATTTCTGGCATTCTACTTCAGAGGCTGTGTTCTCTTGGGGCCTCAGGTTGCAGTGATAAGCCAGCGACAATATTTCACTAGTCCATGTGGCTCGAGTGTTTATAGGATTTTTCCTAAAACAGACAAAATAGCAAACCAGCTGAAATCCGTAGCATCTGCATTATCTCCCTTTTCCAGGTGAGGAGGCTCAGGGATGCCAGGCGACTTGCCCGTGGTCACAAAGGTAGGAAGGGTCCGTAAAGCTAGTCTAGGCCAGGTAACTCATCTATAGAGGAGCCAAATGAGGCCTAGAAGGGACTGCCCCAAGGTCACTCGCAGCTTATCAGCTGCAGGACGGGGCTTTGGAGGTTAAGTCTTCCCTAATGCCCCAAGTCCCAAGGGCCCCGGAGCTCTCACCTGTCACCAAAATCTCTGTGGGGTCACTGATCTCTGAAGTCAAGACGGGTTTCTTCCAGGTGAGGTAGCGGCACCTGTAACGGCCCCCGTCCTGGGGCTTGGCATTGGTCAGCAGGAAGTCCACGGCATGGTCGCTGACACGCTGCCTGGTCACGTCCAGCTCTGTGCTTTCTCCGTCTCTGAAGAGCTGGAAATTGGAATCGGGGACCCGTCCCGAGCAGCGCAGGACCGCGTCCTTCCCGGGAGTCACCACGAGGCTCAAGGGGCGCAGTGAGGGCTTGGGGAGGAGGCCTGTGACAAAGCAGAGCCCCCCGGCCCTGGGTGTTAGAGGCGGAAAGTACTGGGTGGGGGCTGCACTGAATGGTTCACCTGTCTGGGTCTTGAGCCTGCACTGGGACAGCTAACTGTGCAACCTGGAGGAGCCCTTTTCCCCTTCTGGCCTCAGTTTCCCCGCTGGGCCTTAAGGGGGCAGGACTGAGCTCCGCACATTCAAAGGAAGCGTCCCGCCCGCTGCTCTCGGCAGCACTTTCAGCATCCTCAAAATGACTAAATGATGCCCAGGTTCCTTAGCCAGGCTAGACTCTCATTGTTTTAGTGTGTTTGAGGTCGTTTCTGTTGATTTCAGGCAAGTCTCTGCCCCCTCCTGGCCTGAATTTGTTGTTGAGTTGTTTCAGTCGTGTCTGACCATTTTGGACTGGTTTGCCAGCTCCTTCTCCAGCTCATTTTACATATGAGGAAACTGAGGCAGGCAGGGTGAAGTGACTTGCCCAAGGTCACACAGTCAGTAAGTGTCTGAGTCCGGATTTGAACTCAGGAAATTGAGTCTTCCTGATTCCAGGCCCAGCGCTCTGTGCACTATGGCGCCCCCAGCTGCCTTTTCTGGCTATCGGAGCTGTCCAAAAGTGGCATTCCGGGCTGCCTGAGATGGTGGCCTAGCCCCTGCCCAGCCCTCATCCTTCCTGACCTCTCAGCAGGCTTCACCACGGGTGTCCACCCTGTCCTCCCTTCCGCTCTCTTCTCTGGGTCTGTGACTCTCCTCCCCCTCTGACTCTCCCTTCTCAGTCTCCGCTCTACGCCCCATCCCCTAATTGAGTCTCTCCTCTCCCACCCCCGCTTTTTTCTTTCTGCACTCAGCTCCCATCACCATCACAATTCCAGATTTACAAATCCGATGCGTCTGTATCTCTGACCTTCACTCCACTGGATGTCCCACAGGCACCAGAAGCTCCAGGTGGCCCAAGCAGAATCGCCTTTGTCCACCACCAAACCAGCCCATCTCCAGAACGTCCCTCTCTGGCTGGGGCACCACCACCCTTCCAGTCGCTTACATTGTCAGCCTTGGGGTCACTGTGTCTCCTCCCCTCCTTCTCCCCCCATCCAAGTCTTGGCACTGGCAGCCCCGTAGTCTGGCGTGTATCCACCCCCTCCTCTCTGCCCTGCGCCGGAGGGAGGGGGACCGGCCAGGAGCCCACGGCAGGAGTCGGGGTGGGCTGGGAGTGGAGCCTTAGACCTTTACCCATCATGGGAGGTCTGGCTGCCCCCTGGTCAGGTCTGACTCTCCTTCAGTGTGGGCTGGGCTAGCTAGCACTGAGGTTCCCTCTGTCCTTCCCATCCTGACCTCCTACACCCAACATTTCACCCTTTAAGTGGGGCAGCAGGGAGGGCAGGCCCAAGGCCCAGGCATTGAAGCCTCGGAGCTCCAGGGTCCAAGGTCAGAGTGGGAAAAGCAGGGCTGGTCTAGGGCGGTTGGTTGTAGCAGAGATGGTGTTAGAAGAATGTCAAGAGGCAGGTTTCACCTGCTCTTTGCCACACCAGCTCCTTCCTTTCATTCAGACTTGGCCCAGGCGGGTGGTGTGTCCTTCTCCGTGTCACTCCCCTGGGGGGCTTGACTTCCTTCAGGACGTTCAGGACACAGATGAGCTTTAAGGTAGCTATGGTAGGGCCTTTCCCTCTCTGGCCTCAGTCTGTGCCCTCTGTCCAATGAGCAGTGGGACTAGCTGGTCTGGAAGGAGCTGACCCTACTGCTTATGTGACCTCCACAGAACCTGCCGGCGCCGACAGTCTGTGATTCTTTAGTGAGCTCGGGCTCTCAGACCCTTCTCAGCCCTTTGCTTCATCAGATATTACGCCCCCTCCGCCCATCTCCCAGAAAGCCCAGCCCGTCCCCTCACCATCAATTTGAACCTCCACGTCCTCGCTCGCTGGGGACCCGGCAAAGGGGGCGACTGTCTCAAAGTAAAGGCAGCTGTAATTGCCCGAGTCGTAAGCCATGGCGTCAGAGAGGACAAAGTCAGCTCGGGACCCTGCTGGGCTCAGCACCTGCACAGGCTGATCCGAGCCTTTTTTCAGCAGGGCAAACCTCACGTTGGGGCGGGACCCCTGGCACTGGAGCGTTATGTTGGTCCCTCGAGAAATCACGGCATCCTGGGGCTGCACTGAGAGGGAAGGTTTGTCTAATGTTCCTGGAAAGAAAAAAGGCCACCCAATGTTAGCCCCAGGAGGAGTCTAACATAGAATGTGGAAAGTCAGAACCTGGAAAGGCCTTAGGACACAGAACATGGAGAGCCAGAACCTGGAGAGCCAGAACCCAGAGGGACCTTCAAGTATAGAACATGGGAAAGTCAGAGCCCAGAGGGGCCTTAGGACACAGAACTTGGAAAGTCATTCAGGGGAGGGGAGGGGAGGGCCTTTGAGTGCAGAACATGGAAAGTCAGAACC